TGGTGACTAAATTTTGTTTTCAACTTCATCAAACTTTGCAGTTATTATAAAAGGCATATTTTTAATGATTGTTACTAGAGATTGACATTTTGACTTAGTTGGCTGTTCTGGTTATCAAACACTAATTGGATGAGTAAAGTTATTTTCCACTTGGATATATCCCGGCAGCTGTTAAATGTGAGCTATATTGGTCACTGCTTAAAATTAATTTGATCCTTGAATTATTTTGCTTGCTTTTAAGATACTACAGAATTTTTGTTGAAAAGGCTCTGTGTGTGTGTGTGTGTGTGTGTGTGTGTGTGTGTGCATACATATACACACACACACCTTCAGATTTACAAATAGGCTTTGGTTACAGCCCAAGTGTCAATAATTTAATAATGGAGTAGTGCTTACTAAACTGGTAAATATTTGGTAAACTTCAATGTCTGTTCAAGATCAGTCAACAAATACAATATATGAAGTATTAATATTAGAAACCCTTTGTAAAATATTAAGTACCGTTAAGAAAGAAAGAAGAAATAGCCATGCCTCATAAAACACACAAATGAAGGTTTGCTTCCCAGATTTGATGATAGCATATATAGAAATGGCATAAATATTGTTTTTCATTGACAAGAGATGTTGGAAATGTATCTGTCTCTAGTGATATCCAATGGCTTTTCTGAAGGACTAATTCCTTACACTGTGTTTGGGATTTTATTTGTCTCTTGTTTATTATGTTTTACATTTTATTTGTATATTTTTATTTTGTGAGCCACAGGGCGTCTTATCTCTGAGGCAGGGTTTATTGCAATTATTAATAAACAAAAAAATCCCAAATAATCTTCTGTATTGAGGAACATGACTCCAAGTTATTTGTTTGTTTATTTATTTTCCACCCATCTCATTTAGAGGCGATTCTAGGCAGCCTATAACCTTTCATCTGCTTTCTTACCCACTTTAAATTCCTCTCTTTCCACATACACCCCTTTTTTTCCCTGGAAATATTCTTGGGGTCATATACTGCTATAGAATCAGAGCTCATACTCAAAGCTTGTTGGTGTGGACTTAATAAGAAGCAATTAATTGCCAGACGTTTTACATTATGGCAGTCACAGCATTCATTTTGCAGTTCAATAAGCCATGATTGAAGATGACTGTATCTTAAACAGGCCAGTTGTTGAAGTTTATGAGAAGCGTTGCATTCTGGGAACAAGGATCACATTTAGCCTTTGCATAACGCCTGGGATTGTTTTTGCACACCTGGCACCTAGTTCTTTCAAAAGTTCTATAATTGAAAGCTGGTATTACCAGTTTCAATCAAACTCGCTTGCCAGTGTCTCTGATGTGACAAAATAGGAGATCTTGCCAAGAATTCTCAGGAATTAGGGTGCTTTACTGCAACAAAATTAAGTTGCCAGACAGGCATGAATTATACAGGTAGTCCTCGACTTACGACCACAATTGAGCCCCAAATTTTGGTTTTGGATTTAGGCAGGTGGTGGTGGTGGTGGTGGCTAGATGACCTACAAGGTCCCTTTCAACTCTGTTAATTTGTTACCTATTTCCTGATAGGCTAAAGGAAATAATTGGGCCACAGTGTTTTCACACTTTTGGTGAAGCTGATCTGCATTTTAGTTTCTGTTTATCTGGAAAAGTATTTCCTTTCTCTTGGAACCAATTGGTTCCTGCAGTTTCAATCTGATTGCTAGTTGGTTTTTTAGAAGTTAAGAGCAAGAAACAGTTCCCTTATAGGGAAAGATAGAGCAGGTGGTGTGATTTCAGAAATTCCTTGAAGTTCCCTGTAGAGTTGCTTCATTTATTCCTCCTACTTTGCATCTTTCTTTCTTTCTCTCATTCTCAGTTCCACTTTCTGCATCAAATTTTGGTTATGGGCTGTGGGGCTTCTCTACAAGCTACAAGAGGATGATTAAAACGTTTTTTAAAAAACCCTATTGTGGAATTGATCCTTCTGCAGCGAAGATCTTGAGTAGGTTTCTTAAGTGAGAAAGAAAGATTCCAGAATTACACTTTTCAGAAAAGTTTTAAACCTGTTTGGAAAACAGGTTTTCTGTGGGACTTGCACAGTCAAATATTAGAAAGAGATGAAATTTATAGGGAACAACATTGCACAATTAGTGGATCAGACTGATCCCCATGGTAAATGGGAAAGTATTTTGCTTGTGCTTAGAGACACTACACTGTTTAAACACTTTTTTTTTTTGGACTTCTAACAGTCAAGTTTCAGGATGGGGTATTACCCAGAAACTACCTTGGTCATACCTTGATGTGACTTGTGCAGAAGTTGGGCCAGGGGCATCTGTTCTTGGTTATCCTTGATTTCTCAATAGCTTTCAGGGTCATTGACTATGGCAGTGGTTCTCAACCTGTGGGCCGTAGACCCTTGGGGTTAGGGGGTCCACAAAGGCTTGAAGAAATGTTGTGATTTACATCTCAAGTTAAGTCGTGGTGGTCCTTGGCCACAAAAGATATTTAAAGGGGCTCCATTGTGAAGAAAAGGTTGAACTACTGGACTATGGGCCAACCACTGGACTATGGGCCATCTTCAAGGCTTTGGAATAGGGGCCAGCATCTTGCAATGTTCTACATCTGCCTGAAGAAACAGTTCCAATGAGTGATAGTGGGAGAGGGCAGATGAAGTAGTTCAGTATCATCAAAAAGTTTATTATATCCAACTATAGCAACAGCACTTAGACTTATATACCATTTATAGTGCTTTTACAGCCCTCTCTAAGCAGTTTACAGAGTCAGTCTTTTGCTCCCAACAATCTGGGTCCTCATTTTATAGACCTCGGAAGAATGGAAGGTTGAGTCAACCTTGAGCCGGTCAGGACCAAACTGCTGGCAGTGGGCAGAATTGGTCTGCAACACTGCATTCTAACCACTGGGAGGGAGGGAAGGAAGGAAGGAAGGAAGGAAGGAAGGAAGGAAGGAAGGAAGGAAGGAAGGAAGGAAGGAAGGAAGGAAGGAAGGAAGGAAGGAAGGAAAGGAAAGGAAAGGAAAGGAAGGAAGGGCAATAGCATTTACACTTATGTACTGCTTCACAGTGCTTTTCCAGCCCTCTTTAAGCAGTGTATAGAGTCAGTCTATTTCCTCCAACAATCTGGCTCCTCATTTTACCCACCTTGGAAGGATGGAAGGCTGAGTCAACCTTGAGCCTGGTGAGATTCAAACTGCCGAATTGCTGGCAGCCGGCAATCAGCAGACGTAGCCTGCAGTACTGCACTCTAACCACTGCGCCACCATGGCTATACATCTCAATCTATGGCAAAATAGGTGAGGTAATGAAAGCATTGATCCAGTGCCTGGAGTATATCCGGTCAGAATGGGGAGGGACAGACTGTAACAGAGACCATCTAAGACAGAAAGGGTTTTGTGGCTCTGATGATTCTAGGGAAATGCCATTTTTTTTCCTTTGAATAGAGTTAGACTATCTCACCTGGGTCTGTATTTTCGGGTTCTCTTATATTAGATTCCTACTTGAAGGGCGGGTGGCACCTATGGCTAGGGGTCAGTTTTCAGTAGCTGCCCTCACTTTTTGCCTCTTCACCCCCAAAATAACAGTCTGACCAACTTTGAAGCATTCAAAGACTTAACTGTTCTGCTTCAACCAGTGGGAGAGTGTGAAGGTGATTATGTAGGTGCATGATACATATTTTTTCAGTTTTTCAACAAAGAAAAATCATCTTTACATGCACTTGAGTTTTTGCCTTGGTGTTTTATTTTGGCACTGATAGCTGTCCGGGGTCTTTTCTGGAAAAGATGTCATATGATACACACACACAGAGAGATCAACCCTGATGATGTTACCTAGTTGGGTTGTAAAATGTCTACAAGAAAACAACCAAGCTCAGAGAGCACTAAGGACCTCACACACAGATCTGCCTGTGGCTTAGATGAGGCTTGCAACAGACTGACTGCATTCTTAGTCTTTGGATGCGAGGTCCAAACATAATAATGTTTTTTGAAGCAGTGGAAATCTCTATATGTCAAATTTTGCCCTGGAATGGTTGTTGGAAACCTTGATGTGGTATTTTTAAAAACCTCATTAAGTTCTTATGGGAACGGGCCACTTGTAAATTGCTTATCTGCTCCCAGCCTTTGCAGTTCACTTCTTCCTTTCTCTCTTATGGTGAAGACTGTATAGAGCTTGTGTAATATCTCCAGAGGCTGGTTGAGAAACGGTGCTATCAATCTAGATAACTAATGCAGCAGCCTATTTTTTCCTCTTGTGTGTCCAACAAATCATTTGCTTTTTAGAAAAGCCTTCTTCATGCAAGAGTGCCATATAATGTGCTAGAAACCTCAAATTTGGAAATAGAGACCGCACACCACCTGACTTCTCCTTCCAGTCCTCCAAACTGCCACCTGTATCTCAAATGTTTCAGGCATGTTTTTCACAGCCGCTTATATTTTTAAACCAGTAATTTGAATGCTTGGTTAGCTCCCAGAGGACTTTCTTTGATTTGTGCTGTTTTTTTTTCTTCTTCTTTCTTTTCTTTTCAATGTGCTGGTAGTGGAGGGTTGAAATAGGTTTTATTGAAAGAAGAGTCTTGGGAACTGACAAGGCACACTTTTTAATGAAGCCCTTGGAAAATCACCTCCTTTTTATTTCACTATTGACAAAATTACCTGTCATAATAGAGAGATACCGGTGTAATTTGAGTGAGTACCAGTTTTCTGCATAAACTCTGGAAAGAATCAGCGAAGATGCTGCGTTTAAAGTTGGTGGAAAAGCTAGGCAGAAGCATCTTTAATACCCAAGCAAGTTGCTGACTCTTCTTCTATGCTGGATGTTGCAGGTAAAATGCCAGTCCTTTTCGGTTACTGATGTCTGGCCTTTTGCTATGGGATTTTTCTGAGTAGGTGGATGATTTTTTTTCAGAGCCCAAAGCCCCAGAGATAATTCATTCCATATCATAATAAGAGCTTGTTGACATCTGAAACCGCTTTCCTGTTTTACCAGGTAGCTGATCAGAGAGAGAGACCATTGATGAACGGTCCTTTCACTTATGATGGCAGACCAGCCACCTCCATTAGAAGCCACACCTATTTTGAATGAAGTGCCACTTCTACCTCATATGGTCAATGGGGACACCACACAACAGGTAAGTTGATCTGCATAAGACGGGGATCCTCAGAATGTTCTCTTCTGCAAATGCTGAGAAGGGATCATATCTTCTGTGCCACTTTCGGTTGTAGATAATGGCTTAACATGGTTAAGCTCCTCTGATCACGGTTTATTTAGCAAAGGATGTTTAAGCAAGCCATTGCTCAACAATCTCTGGGACGTAATTGATTTTATTAAAATTGGGTAACAAGTTCCAAGGTCCAAGATCATTGTCATTATGTATAACAGTATCAGTTTCATTCCTCCTTTGTTAACTGAAAAATTAACTTAGATGGCAATCAGATATAATCATAATTTAAAACCAGTGAGAAAATGGTCATTCTGTAGAAGTTTACTATAATTAAACCATTGCCATAAAATGGAGAATATTCTATTTTATAAATTCAGTGCCTTAAGGACAGGAAAAATCATATTGTCATGTGATTTTTCTAAAACTATGAGTGTGTGTTTAAGGAACTGAAAATATATGAAGCTGTGTATGCCAGATGTAAAATGGTATTTCTGTCTAGATACATACAGAATCTCCCACACATGCAAATCTAAAGTATCCATGTTGCGATGTTCTAAAATAGCCTTTGCTGGCAGATCATTTTTCTTTACTTTTCTTTGTTTTAGGAAAGACTTATATTACTTCTTAATCTTACAATGATTTGCATTATGCAATGGAGTTTTGATGTATTTCCTTCTTTTAACTGTTGAATCATTTTTAATAATAGCATTTACAGTAAGAGGTAATAACATGAAGATCCTCAATTAAGTTTACCTTTGTAATCTAATGCAAGAATTTAGATCCCAGGCCTTGTTTTAAGGATGTCCGGAGGATTTTTCCTTGAATAGTAGATTTTTGAAGCCATGTTGCAGATTTGAACTTCCTAGAATTGTTTAAAAAGATTGTCGCGTGGAACTGAGAGTTCCTATTTGTTTATGTGATTGTCAATTCTTATAGGATCCATGTTGTCAAATATATTGGTCCCTTTACAGAAAAAGGTATATTGATTTATGTAAATCAGGTGCATGATTCAGCACTTGCATTAAAAATTGCACAAAAAAAGTTCTATGTGCATTCACAGAGTTAGCTTGGAAAGCGCTCAGAGCTACTTGCCCAGCTAATTAATTGGTTTGAAACAAATATTGCAAAAAATGCAAGAGTTTTTTAAGCAAAGCATTCTAGCTGAAAATCTATGAAGGACCCAAACATTTTAGATGCTCTGGAAGTTTTATTAGATTAATTCAAGGACTGCACGACCAGACTTATCACTCGAAAACGTCAGGAAATCTTTGTTTTCACTCTGTTGGCTCCACATTGACCAGTATGTTTTTTAACGTTTTGTCTCTGTTTCTGGTTGAGGGTGCCCTTGAAGGTTTTGTTTTATTTTCCAGGAGCCAAGTTATCAGTAGCCTTGTAAACATTCAGTTCTTAAGACACAGTTATAGAAATTCAGATTAACTGATATCTCATTTAATAATCACTTTCACCTTGTTGTAAGTTTATTCTGATCTATTTTGAAGCTTGAGGGTGGGCTCCAGCTTTTTAAAGCTTGCAAAACACTTCTAAACACAGGGCAATTTAAAGCAAAACCTGCAGAATCAATATATTTTCTCCTGTGGAAATGAATGTGAAAATAAGCATCTGTGTAAGCTTCTTCCCAAAACCATTGTAGATATCACACTTGTTATGAAGATTAAGTGTCTTCGGGTAGGTTTCCATATCTTTCTTGCATTTTTTCCCCCCTCCAGAACTTTTTACTAGGCTGGCTGCAGATAAAATATAGGCTTCTGAAGGTTGTTTAATGAGAAATTATCTCCCTTTGACCTGCAGAGATACAGCCACTGAATATCATGTTCTAGCTATTACGCACATGACCTTTTAATGAAAAGAGTCGAGATAAAAATGTACCTTTCCTTGGTCAGAAGGGAGCCATAACTTGTCTCAGAAAGCCTTGTATTACAATCTAAAATATTTAACCAATTCAGCCTTGGGAAATCGGGTTAGGAGTTTTGAAAAAATGGCATATTTGATTTCTTATAGGAGGGAAAAAAGTGTTCCCAGTAAGAAGCAAAAGGCTTGGCTGCGCTGGTTTTAAGCCATTATTTAATGCCCCCTTTATGTTATCTGTTCTACGTATTATAAACCAACTTGTCCTTTTGTTCACTTAATGGGAGTGTACAGCTTATTAAATTTATGATGTTAAAAGACTTTGATTTTAAACTTAGAACTGTGACCATAGCTAAGTAAAATAACACCAGAATTATTAAGCCTGGAACCAAGCATTCATTTGGATTTTTAGTCAGTAAAAAAAAAATGCTCCTTATCAAAAGGCTGGTGGCAAAAATATAAGGTTTTAAGAAAAGCTGTCTACCAGAGGTACATTTGGATCAGAATAGCAGGAAAACATTTGCTTCAGTGGGCTGTAATAACACTGAATAAAAATCAAATTAGTTTATAGTTAGAAACCTGCTGGCTTGTTTAAAACCCCAGAAGGGGTGGGAGTGGGGGAAAGTAGAATTGGCTTGAATTTTTAAGATCACAAGAATTTTAAAAGAAGCTTTCTAACCCAGTCAAATTGGGTTCAACCAAGGATCTGTTCCAGTCCTACCTAGAATTGTCATTCCTGTTTGCAAAGCGCATGATGTATCACTCAGCTATGGCTCTTCCCATTTCAGAAGGATGTCATAAATTCCTAACAACTGCTCTCTTCTTAGCTCCTTCCTAAATGGTTTTAATAAGGCATTTTAAAGGGTATTCCCTTCCGAGGGAAAGCAGTGAGGGATTTATATACCTGTTTTCCCAAAAATACGGCCTACCCTGAAAGTAAGTCCTAGCTTGATTTTTACATGTGCATCCAATATAAGCCCTAACCCCCCCCCCCCCAAAAATAAACCCTAATTAAGATCCCGTCCACTCCAAAGTGCATGGGTAAAAATTAAGCTAGGGTGGGAATAGGGGGGTGGAGCTGCCCTACTATGTACATTTGGACAGTTGTAGCCAGGCCTCACACACCCCGACACCTGCCTTGCCGGCCCATTTCTTCTGCAGCCCACAAGTTATCGCCTGCAGAGACCTTCAGGGAAACCTTGCCAGCCACAGAAGAAGTAGTTCCTGAAGGCCTCTGACAGCGAAAAGGAGGCCGGGGGCGATGCATGCAAGTGAGGTTAGTCAGTGGGTGACATCCCCCGAAAATAAGAACTGGTACCTTTTTTTTGTGGCAATATATATATATGTATATATGTATGTATGTATATATGTGTGTGTGTGTGTGTGTGTATGTATGTATATATATATATATTCTTAAGTTTTCGCGGGTACTCACATGTATGGCATTCGGCTTTGTTCGGGTATTTTCCCACGTCATTGTAGTTGTTCTTTTAAAGTTGTAGCAACGTTTCAGCAGAATCTCATCTGCCATCATCAGGCTTTTGTATTGTGTTCGTCTGTGAGTCAGACTTTTACAGTGGTTTCAGATTTAAATTTGGGGCAGCCTATTGCTGTGCCAGAATGGTTTTTTCTTCATCCTGATTGGTTGGGAGTCTTGGTCTGTGTTTATTGGTCTTGGAGTTTGCTGTGTTCTGCTTGATTGGTGTTTCTAATATCTTCTGTCTGTTTTTTGGCTCTTTTTGCTGCCAGCCAATCAAGATACAAAAATTTTTTTGTCTCAGATCCTAGGAATTTCTCAATAGAATTAGAAATCACAATATCTATTTATTTCTAACACACACACACACACACACACACACACACACACTGATGTTTATCAACATTTTGGTGGTTTTGCTAACTTGTTTTTCGTGTTTTTAAAAACTCTGTTCTGCTTTATTTACAAATGTAAAGATTGATGTGTTGGCCTACTTGAGGATTGCGTTGTATACCACCCATTCTCATGGAACAATAAAATCCTGCTACCAATTACCTCTCTGCAAAACATAATGTTGTCTTAAGAATCACGGTGTAGAAATGTATCATAATAAACATACAGTATTGCCTGCTTTTTAATTTATGTTTGTTTTCTCCTTCTTCCTTTAAGGGAACTCCAAAGCGACAGTTGCATGGATGTTCCTTGTCTACTTGTCTTTCTCTAGCAAAAGAGGCTTCTGTGGTACAAGACGTATCATATAGTGTATAAAATAACTGTAACAACTTTAAGACCTGTGAACTTCAACTCCCAGAATTCCCCAGCCAGCCTTGGTGACCGGGGAATTCTGGGAGTTGAAGTCCATAAGTCTTAAATTTGCCAAGGTTGGACACTCCCCCCCCCCCAGTGTAAAACATGGTTGCATATTGTATACTATCTGGGAGACAAGTATAAACCCCATCTTCCAAAAAAAAACAACCCAACCCCTTTGGGTTGTATAATCCAAGTCTTTTTTCCAATTTCTCTGGTCACTTAGTCTTTGAGAAACCCCAGCTGCAGAAAGAGTGACCAACTGTAATTTCCAATGAAATGTTAATTAAAACCACTAAGTTATTTGGAAATCAGTGAAGAAAGAAAGCAAAAAAAATGAGCAACCACTTATGAGAAAAAATGGACACATCTCAATTATCATTTGAGGGGAACAGCCAAATGTTGGAAATATCTTTTTTTCTGTATAATTGGTTTTATATGATTTAGTGATTGAAGAGAAATAGAGAAATGAAACTTTCTGCAATACTATTTGTTTAGTTGTTAGTTGGTGGAAACGGTTGTAAGTTTAGCAAGGGATTCTCTTTAATTTGCTGGATTTATTTTTCAAATTTGGTACAATTTTGTGCTGTGTGCCCATTTAAAAGGTTAAAAAATGCACATATGACTTCAGTTCGATTTTTACTGATTATTATCACTGATGTTTCTAATCTGATGTGTTTACTTTTGCAAAGTTATATGTTGCTTTCAGATGAGGTTCAAAATAGGACTTAATATTCTTATTCCTAGGTTATTCTTGTGCAAGTAAACCCAGGAGAGACGTTCACAATAAGAACTGAAGATGGTCATATCCAGTGTATTCAAGGTAAACAATGCCTCAAGGGTATACTCCGAAATTACTGATATCAGATACTGCATGCCTATTAAATTAATGTGGCTAGAGGACTTTATCATAGTTCTGCCGGTTCATAACAAGAAAACAACCTTACTGATATCTAGACTCCCAACAGCAAGAATTCCTCTGAATTCTATTTCTGAGAATTTTGGAAGTTGAAGGCCATAAATTCAGATTGAGGAAGGTTGAAGGTTGTTGAGTCAAGTCCATTTCCTACACAGAATGATTTTGCAATCATCATAACCACAGTAAAGAGCTGGCCATTTCTCTAGAAGACTAGTTATAGGGCAAAGAAGTTAAATCTAATGTCAAAGGTCAAATAATAGGTCACAAGGAAAGATTAAGGCTTTTGGAAAAGATCTCAAAATCACAGTGTCATTCTATGAAAACCTTTCTCAGCTTTTGCATTTTGAATCGTTATTAAGCTGATTGTGATCTAGACTAATCCACTCTGATGTCATAAAGGGATATTTTACTGGACATTTTTCCAGGATCCCCATTCTTGGACAGTTTCTGGTAGGTTAGAGAAAGTGGGAAGGCTATAAGAAGTCTTTACTCGCTTACCCAGGCTGTGGGTTGAAGCATCAGAACAAGTAGAGCCTTTCTTTTTATCTCAAGTCAAAGTTGCTCCAGCAAAGAGCATCATTCTATTCCTAGAATTTAGTAACTCTTCGATGGTTGGAGAGCAAAACAGGTTTTATATAAAACGTCTTCTCTACCACCCAGTGAAAGAAATCCTTACTTTTTTGTCTAGTATGGATGTTGTAGAATATATCAGATGAGAAGGAATCAGACCCTTTGTTTCTTTGGTGCCTAAACTTAGTGAGCTACTAGCAGCTGTTGAGCCACCAAAATGCTGGAGAAGATTTTCCCCCAAAAAAGTTTTCAAGCAAGAGTCAAGGTATAGCTTACCTACTTGGTGTTGCTTCTAGAGATGTTCAGTTTAAATAAAACTCTGTCTGAATGTGACAGAAATCAAGACTTGCCTATCGAGGCTCTCCTTTCTCGCAGATCTAAAAAGCAATCTGTGGCATCATCAGACAGATTGAATACCCGAGTCCACTGTAATTTTTTAATGCCTCTTGAGCCAAACTCATGGTCTTTATTAAACACTTGCCTTTAAAGAAATCACACAAGATGAAGATCTTTGTTGACCTGGTCAGTCGTTTTCTATGTTTGATTGTTGAGCATTTTTTTAGAGGTCTTTTTTTTTTTTAAAAAAAAGACCAATTGTCTCAACTTGGCTCTTTCACTGAGATTTTCAACAGCATGGGACGGTTTTTCCAGGTTGGCTGGGGAATTTTGCGGCGTGGAAGTCCACCCTTCTTAAAAGTTGCACATGTTGAGATACCCAGCTAAAAACTTGTATCCCTCTGCATTTGACCTCATTCCCTATTTTTTTGCTAAATGGTTTGATGGAAGAGTTAAACGGACGGGCCTGTGCATGATGGCCTGTTTGACGATTATGTTTGTCAAATAAAACTGGTTTTAGCACTCTGCAGGGAGTCATGAATCGGTGTTGCTTGGTTTCCTTTCAGGTCCAGCACATGTTCCTATGATGTCACCAAATGGTTCTGTCCCTCCAATATTTGTGCCTCCTGGTTACGTCTCTCAGGTAAGATCCTTTGAACACTTATAAAAGAGGGATTTTCCAAGTGAGCGATGGGGAATTTATCCCTCTTTATAATTCATAAAGGTAACAAGGGTGACGAGTGGAGAAAAAAAACACCTGAATATCTCTTCTTTTTCCTTGTCTCATCTCATTGGTCACTTTTAGGCTCTAATAATTTCCCAGAATCCTAAAATGGACATACAGCCCGATCACTAAGGATGTTGTCTTGTACAGGCTATAGATTAAGCTCATGAACCCGAAAATCAGGTTAAAGCCTGATAGGCAAGGCAAAACTAGGATTTATAGCAAGGAAGTTCAAAAAGTTTTGGGTCAGCAGCCTGTAGGGTTGAAAGCAGTAGAGACAGAAGACTCCAGACACTGTTGCCTAAATTACTTACTTTTTTAAAGAGGTGATTATTTTAAAACTTCAAATCTGCAGCTATATCACAGCCTTGCACTTGAGCCAAAAATAGCCTACAGTCGGTTTGGGGATAATAATCCAAATACTGCATTCATCTTTAATAGTACCGTGTTTCTCATAAAATAAGGCCGGGTCTTATTTTTTTTTGATCCCCGAAAAAACGGCTAGGACATCTTTTCGGGGGTGACTTAATTTCTTCCCCCACGCACACCTCCACCTAGAGTGCCCCATGTGCACTCACCTCTCCATGAGGCCGCCACTGGAAGTTCTCCAAAGGTAGAGTCACCAGCCGCTTCTATCGGCCAGTAGAAGCGGCCTCGGGGCAAGCACCCACGCGCACTCACCTCGCCACGAAGCTGTTTCTATCGGCCGATGGAAGCTCCCCAAAGGCAGAGTCACCAGCTGCTATGGGGTGAGGCGTGGCTGCCCACAGGGTGCTCCTGAGAGGAGCACCCCATGCACACTCTCCTCGAGGCCGTTTCTGTCGGCCGATGGAAGCTCCCAAAAGGCAGAGTCACCAGCCGCTTCCATCGGCCAATAGAAACGGCTTCATGGCGAGGGGAGTGCGCATGGGAGAGTGGCTACAAACTTTTCTTAGCAGAAGGGGAGCAAGCTGAGTTTCTCTCTCTCTCTCTCTCTCT